GAGGAAAAGTTTCGCTGTAACATATGTGACAAGATTTTATGTAGTACAAACAACCTTCGTCGCCATCACCTGTTCTATCATAGCAAATCAAAGAAAACTTTTGAATGTGAGTTTTGTAATAAAAAATATTCTTGGCCGCAAGACCTGGTTGATCATAGAAAAACACACACACAGGAGGAAAAGTTTCGCTGTAACGTATGTGGCAAGATTTTAGGTAGTACAAAGAGCCTTCGTCGCCATCAGTTCTGTCACAGCAGATCTAAGAAAATTTTTACTTTTGTATGTGAAATTTGTAATAAAAAATATTCTTGGCAGCAAGACCTAGTTGAACATAGAAAAACACATACACAGGAGTGTAACGTATGTAGTAAGATTTTAGGTAGTACAAGGAGCTTTCGCCGCCATCAGTTGTGTCACAGCAGATATAAGAAAACTTTTGAATGTGAGTTTTGTAATAAAAAATATTCTTGGCCGGGAAACCTGGTTCAACATAGAAAAAAAAAACACATATCCCCAGAGGACGAGGAGGGTGAAAATTGCAAAATACATGTAGTAAAAGAGGAATGGAAGAATGTAGATTTTCCTGATATAGTAATTATTTTCATAACAAATGTATAAAAGTACTGGTAACAGTATAAACTTATGTACAACTAACAACAATAAAAATGTTCCTACTAACTTTTAATAACAAAACAAAATACAATTTTTTTGTGGTTGGCAAGACTTACTTTAAATGTGAGTTTTGTGAGAGAGGAGAAAGAGTTCTGTGAAAGGAGGAATTGAATCTGAGTGAGTACTACAACAATAAAAATGTCCCCATATACTAACTTTTAATAACCTTTTACAAAACAAAACAAAATGTTTACACAGAAGGCAAAGTTTCGGCTGTAATGAATGAATGGTTTTTAAGTTAAAACACCATAATATTGCCGATTAATACTTAATTGTACAAACTTTATTAAAATTGTTGTCCGTCGATGTTGCGTGGTTGTGGGGGGAAATGGGAGAAAGATTTCTGTGAAGGGGAGGAATTGAATCTTATTGAGTACTACAACAATAAAAATGTCCGTCCATATACTAATTTTATAACATAATATTCCGATTATACTTAATTGTACAAACTTTATTAAAATTGTCCGTCGATGTTGCGTGGTTGTGGGGGAAAATGGGAGAAAGATTTCTGTGAAGGGGAGGAATTGAATCTTATTGAGTACTACAACAATAAAAATGTCCGTCCTCTTTAATAACGTTTTACAAAACAAAACAAAATGTTTACACAGAAGGCAAAGTTTCGGCTGTAATGAATGAATTGTTTTTAAGTTAAACCACCATAATATTGCCGATTAATACTTAATTGTACAAACTTTATTAAATTGTTGTCCGTGATGTTGCGTGTTTGAGGGGGGAAATGGGAGAAAGAGTTCTGTGAAGGGGAGGAATTGAATCTGATTGAGTACTACAACAATAAAAATGTCTGTCCTCTTTAATAACGTTTTACAAAACAAAACAAAATGTTTACACAGAAGTCAAAGTTTCGGCTGTAATGAATGAATTGTTTTTAAGTTAAAACACCATAATATTGCCGATTAATACTTAATTGCATAATATAAATATTTTCCCCATACAATTTCATTATTGTAAACTAAACCAGAAAAAGTCAAAATTTTCATAAAAATACTACGTTTTATATTGTGTGTATTATTTTTAAAAAAATATCCAGTGGGTGGGTTTATAGGTTTTGTTAAACCTTTTATAGAAAAAAAACGTACCAAATTAATATGGAGGGGTATGGTATTCCATCCATAAATTCCATTATATATAGATTTATCATTTTCATTTAAGTTTTTAACTATATCATCAAAAGTAATATTAATGACAGATTTATCAATAATAACAGGAATATCATATATATTTTTATAAAAGTATGCATTCATTTCGTTTTATTTCTTTATTTTTTTTATCTTTTTATCTTGGAAGGATAGATAATCAAATATTAATTTTATATTTTTATTTACAGAAGGTTTATTTATAGGTAGATATATTTTATAACAATACCAGAGGTTTATATTAATGTTATATTTTTATATTTACTATTCATTTTTTGACATATATTTTATAGGTTTCTTTGGTTGACAATATATACCTATATCTGAAATTTTATTATTATTATTAATTATACAATACAGAAAGGGTTTATTTACAGACACATTGATCCCATACTGAACTGAGTCTGTAAAACACATCCGTGTTTTAGATTCAGTTAATGTTCCTAGTTCATAATTTACAATTGATGAAACATTACTTAATTCTAAAAAAACTGAGTTAAAATCTCGTGTTTTGTTTAAATTTCTAATGTTATCATTACTCAAACAATCACAAATAACAGGCAAATTCTTAATTTCCTTATATTCAGTTGTTTCATTGAATTTTGGAAACCATTGGTTTCTAGAATTAACACTGGTAAAAGTTTGTAGATTTTGTTCAAGTACTCCTGAATCTCCAAAGATATTCCTAGCTAGAAACATTAATTCATTTTTCGAGGCTGGGGATTCAGGCATATAAACATATAAATATGATCCACATTTATAAGGAAAGTATACAACTAAATCTTTGTCATTTAGTATTCCCGAACCTCTTTGAACAGTTTTAGCATCAGCATGCATCATAGTAACACTAGTATATTCACCACCTGGAAGAAAAAATATCTGAGTTTCATTTCCATAATTAAACGGTTCTTTCCACTTGCCATTGAAAGATGAACCAGATGCTAACATTAACTTAAAACCTTTTCGGTTTGGGTCAAAGAGGTCTTTAATCCCAACTGCTAATTCAATTTTCTTATTTGCTTTATTTATAACTCTTGTTTCATCAGCATTGATGTTAAATTTGTCTTCATAATAAAATTTCCCATCTTTGTTCTCTCTTAGTGAATTCAGAAAATCTTCATTTAATTGTTCCTCTATATCAGTAGCATAAAGAATTGCTAGAGTCCTCTTCAGCGATTGTTGTTGATGTTTCGACGACGCAGAATCCTTAATTTCATCCGAAAATATTCGATAGAGTTGAGTATTTGATCGTTCTTCCGCAGGCAAGCAATATATCAGTGAGTGAACCAATTCCAAAATTGTTCTAGGACCCAATATTACATTCTTCTGGAGTGAGTTTTCTGCACCAACAGCAAAAATTCGGAAGCATAATGCATTATATTCTTCACTAATACTCATTGCTACTCTTCCAGGAGACAAGTGAAAGACTTACTGAATAATGCTTTTACTATTTTCACCTTTTATACTACTCTGCTAGTGTTGTCAATCACTCATTTGTTTTTTTTTTTGTTTTTTTGTTTTTCCATAGTAATTTATTTTGTTTTTATTTTTTTGTTCACAAATAGAACAAAATGTCAATTTTATTGTACTTATAACAAAATGCCAACATGGGACGAATATTTGAGTTAACCATTTAACATTAGTTACTTCTAAAGAACTTGAGGAGGAATTCAAAGGTAAAGGATAAATAATTACTAATGATGATGATGATAGTGATAGTGGTGGAGGTAACAATAGAGGTGGAGGTAACAATAGTAGTGGTGGTTGAGGTGGTGCTAGTGTTGATGGTTGTTGTTGTAGTGGTGATGATAATGATGATAATGATTGTGGTTGTGGTGGTACTGATGATGGAGATAATGATTCAGGTTGTAGTAATGGCGACGATGATGGTGGTAATAAAGATTGTGATGGTAATAGTGATGGTAATAATGGTTGTAATGATGTTAATGGTTCCGCCAATGATAATGATTGTGGTTGTTGTATTGATGATGACGATAATGGTTGTGGTAGTGGTGGTGATTGGAAATCTTCAAGATATTTTTTCAAATTTAAACATGGAAATCCAGTCTTTTCAATATTATAAATTATATTCGATTTTATAATTGGTTCTGGACAACCACTCTTAATTATATATTGTATAATATCTAATTTCATAAAACTCTGCATAGCTTCCTTTGTTAAATAACAATACCTTCTTCTCTCTTCTTCAAAATAATCGTCGTCACTTGTATGTTTATATTGTGCAATAAATTTTATACCTCTTTCACGATGAACAAAATCACAATTGGGATACCATTGGGCGTGCATAGCCCAGGGACACTTATCGTTTTGCTGCCAATTCATAAGTCCACCGAAACATGTAAAACAACGAACGAAATCTCCAAATCCGTAAAATGTTTCACTGTAAAATCCAGCCTCCGCTAATTTTTGGGGTGTTATATTTAACAACCGAGGAAAAGTTGCTTGATCGAATGAGTTCAAACGAGTTTCAACTGTGTCATATATTTTATTAATTTTTTTCATCCAGTCAATTTTCTCCATTTTATTAAATGATAATGTATCATAAAAGCATGGATGTTTCAGATATTGCCCTTGTTCAATAGGAACATTTTTTAATCTGGCGTAATAGTTACAAGGCACTAATCGATCATGTTCCTCTTTAGGGGAATCTCCCTCATGCCAGTCATATAATTCAATACCACAAAAACAACAATAAACAGTATCGCACAGATGCGTGTAGACAAATCCACAGTGAGCCAATATATTACTTTTAACTTCGTATTCCTTTGGCCAATCAAAAAATGTTAGTCTTCTCGCCTCTTCAAAGTATACTATATCAACTGTAAGGAAACGTCTTTCCACAGTATTTGATTTTGAAGTCATCCCGGCGGCCATGTGGGAATATTACTATACTACACTATGCTATGTATGGATGGAATTTGTTAGCTACTCCTTCCTAATTTATATAACCACCATCTAATATTTTTATCTTGAAGGGAGAGGGTTGATAGGAGATCTATAAATACAAGGTAAAAATTATAAAATCTCTATTACTCAGAGTTTTGACATAGGAGTAAGGTTGTATTTTAGTTTCCTATATTTGTTGAAAAAAGTTAAAATATTATATATTTTTTCTTCTTTTAATTGTTTATTTTTATTTTTAAGAGTTACAAAATGGACGACTCTGATTCTGCCACCGACGACGATGATTACAACAACTACGACGAGGATGATCCCGATGGTTACGAAGATGGTTACGAAGATGACAGCGACAATAACAGCGATTACAACAGTAATTATGACAGCGACAACGACAGCAATTATGAAACTGGCGACAACAACAGCAACGATGACAACAGCAGCAATTATGAAACAGATGACAACGGCAATGATGATGATATTGACAGCAATTATGAAACAGATGACAACGACAACGAGAATGATATTGACAGCAATTATGAAACTGATGCTGATGCTGATGCTGTCACTTATAATGATATTGATATCGACGACGACAAAATATATGAACTATATAAATCATTATATTATATGTATATCTTTGTAGTCCAGTATCTGAACAAAAATATAAATTGTTTTATAGAAAATAAACTTGAATTTAAAATACAAATGGCTGTAATAAATAATGAGCTTCAACGCATTAGTAACATATTAAATAGTTTTCTATAGGAAATTACTTTTTATTTTCCTTATAGTAAAAAATAAAAAAAAATGACAGATCTTGATGTTCCAGATTTTGTTAAAAGTAATAACGATGATAACTTTAAAAAAATAAAGAACTACTTTATAAAACCACATACTCTACGACAAAAGCTTTTAAGTCTCGTATTTATTAGATCAAGTAGCCATACAATATCAGAAGCTGTAAAGAATGAAATTGTTTTTGAACTTGAATCAGAGAATGTTGAGGAATTAATTTTAGCAAAGCTATTATTATTTTCGGGATTTACATTTCCCCAAACTAAAATAAATCTGGGAGAGGTATTAATATTTAATGATAATAATATTCCTGAAAATATTTTATTAGATATGGGTATATCTGAGTCAAATTCTGCTATAGATCATGTCCTTTTGATTATGTATTCAAATACTTTAGTAAATTTATGGATGCTTTTTATTGATATGATACATTGGTCTAAGAAAGAACTTTATAAATTTGAAACAAATTTTCTCTTACCAAGTATTTATGAATGTATAAATAAAGTTCTAGATGATCTAGATAATGACGACGGCTCTTCTACAACAAAAAAATAAATTATTTTTATACAAAAAAATTAAATTATATTTATAATTATAAAATACAAATTAATCCCAAAAGTATAAATTTACAAGATATTATACGTTTTCTTATAGAAAAATATAAAGATTACAACAATATTTGGAATAATGGTGAAAAAAGATAAGAATGACTTATGATGATGTATATAATTTACATATCAACTTAATTTTTGATATTATGCATTTGTTCATTGAACAACCATATACTAGTAAAGAAGATTTAGAAACAGCCGGAGCTGAAAAATATATATTACTTTGGGATTATGTAAAAAAATTCTCTACGAAAAATCGAGAGAATGTTCCTTCATTCAATATGTATGTATCCTCTATCTTATTGTATACTAGTCGTCAATCTAACCAACAATCACAATTAGTTATAAAAGAATATTCAAATCTTATATGTCAAGAAAATGGAATATTAATAAAAAAGAAATCAAAAAGATCGCGATCGCGCTCAAAATCACGACAAAGATCTGTAAATTCACGATCAAAATCGCAACAACGACCACGGCGGCAATCTAAAAGTTCGCGATCAAAATCACGACAAAGATCTGTAAATTCACGATCAAAATCGCGACAACGACAACGGCGACAATCTAAAAGTTCGAGATCCAAATCGCGACAGCGACAATCTAAAAATTCGAGATCAAAATCACGACAACGATCGCAATCACAATCGCAATTACAGCAGCAACAACGGCTACGACGACAATCTAAAAGTTCGCGATCAAATTCGCGATCAAAATCACCACAACGATCGCAATCACAATCAGGCCGATCACAATTACAGCGACAACGAAAATCTGACATTTTACAATTACGACGACAATCACAATCACAGCAACCTGAACTTTTACAATCACAATCACAGCAGCAACAACGGCTACGACGACAAGCTAAAAGTTCGCTATCAAAATTGCAACAACCATCACGATATAAAAATTCGCGATCAAAATCACGACAACGATCGCAATCAAAATCGGGTCGATTACAACGACGACAATCTGAAAATTTGCAACCAGATTTTTCCAAATTAGTTTTAGATGTTGGAGCAGAGGATCAAATAAACAGATTTAAATGAGGTACCTAAATTGGCTGAGGATTTTATAACATATATTGATACAAATAAACCAATGTCATTACCCAAAGTAACCAGAAAAAAGAAATTAAAGAAATTTAAGTCAGATTATGCTTGTAAAATAATTCAATAAAGAAAAATAAATAATGATTCAATTATATTATATTATTCCATATCTTAGTTTAATATTGTTATTCATTTTTAATTGTATTATCTATATTAAAGATAGATTATCATCACATAAATGGATATTTAATTCAATTAAAAAAGATTTGGAGGCTGAAAAAATAGCCATAACTCACCAAAAAAATTTCATAGACATACAAAGTTGGACGTCAAATAATATTACTCAAAATGATGTAGTCAACATTTTTAAGGAGTCCTCTTTTCATTGTAAGGATATTTGTCTAAGAGTTCCCGAAAATAAAGTAAATACTCCACATATTTGTCGAATTCTTGGTGGACATGAGTGTGGTCCGTACCTTAAAATAGTAAAAATTCCCCAAGAATCTTCTACACAGTATACAATACGTGGAACAGTGTTAATTGGAGGGTGTACTTATTGCTTATGGAAAGAACCTCCCCTTGAAACAAAAACTTTATGTAATTCCGTATGGGGATATTTACAGTATTCCCAAGAAGAGGATAGATGGAAATGTAAATCTAAATTACCTGGTTTCTATGACGCGGATAGAAATACATTTATTGTTTGCGAACCTGATGGAAAACTGATACGCATACAAAAAATTAATGAAAAAAATGAAAGAAGTGTAGTCGATATTGCCTCAATGGTTCCTAATGATTTTTATGAGTTACAACATGAGTTTGAAT